AAAAACAATAAAGAAATATATGACATGCAGTATAAACATCATTCCGAGCAAAATTTTGAATATGTATAAAAATATCTGTTTGTCCTTCGAGTTATTATTTCTTGCAATTATGCGCGAAATTATCATGCATTCATCTGTTCATCTGTTCATTCAAACAGTCATTCATTTATTCACTAATTCATTCATTCATTTGTTCGTTCGTTCAAGTAATAGTGAAGCCCTAATAATCAGAATACCCATCATGCAATATTTTGATTTTTCAAATAAGGCATAATTTAGTTGTTCCTATAATCACACCAAAACAAATATATCAAATTAAAAGTTCCCCTCAGGCTAGGCGATTGCTTTCGTAACTGATCGACAAGGAAATTATACTAAATAAGAAAAACGTGTTGAATTAGCTGGGCTTGTTTAGTGTCAATAGATATCATAATTTATATCACGGAGTTATCAGTTGAATTGTAGTGATAATTAACGTAACTTTCATTTATCCTCGAGCATCAGTCATTTGCTGAGCTGTCTGTATTTTTTTTAAATCATCGATGAAACTAAATATAAATAGTCGATCGATTTCGTGCAGACATCGTTCAGCTGTGGTTTTGCCTCTTCTTTTCCTTAAAATTTTTCAAAAGAGAAATAAGGAAATGATGGTTTTTGTCGTCTCTTTTGCTTTATATATTTTCTTTGTACCTTTGATATTTATCTTTCATTCATCTCCCTATCGACAGTTTCTGGGACATTAGAAATCCAATGACAGAGCCTTAAAAGACGATCGTCAACGAGTCAATTTGCCAGCGGAGGCGAGTTGACTCCTTGCAGTGGCGAGGTTAGTGGTGGCTCGTTTGTCGTGATGGCGAGTTGACCGTAAACCGTGTCAACAAATCCTCGTCCCAGAGCTCTACCTTCTTCGCCCTACCGCTGACTCCAAACCCGCTGCGCTATTTCCGAACTTTCCCGCCATCATGTGGCGCCATCTTTGAGATTCCTGCTTCCCCGTATCTATAGAACACAACTTCAAAATGCCTTCTCACTTTAGAGCCGTAGACAACGCGGTCGAGAAAGTTCGGAAAGTAAAGGAATATGTAGATAATGGCTTGGGTGTAACTTTAGATGTAGCGCTGGACTTGGAAGAAGTTAGTAAAGACAACGAGCTGGTGAAAGAGTTGGAAGATACGATGCTGCAGTATGTTAGCATGGAGAGAGAGATGGACCAGTGCATGAAAGCTGTCGAGCTAGCGAAGGAGGAGTTTAATCGAAAGTATGATGTAAATAGGTGAGACTGTATGAAGCCAATTTACTATTTATTCCTAGGATAAATGCTGACCTTGTTTACAGACCGATGTTTTGCTTGTGAAATTATATTCAGTGCTGTGGATATCATTTGTACAGCCATTAGCATTGTTTTTTATCACAGAGATTCATTTCATTTGTTGAAAATCTTATGGCTGTTACTTTTAGCTGTGCAAGCAAATTTATTGTATTTACCCGTACTATCAATTAGAGCTGACCCAAAGCCTTATTCATTCCCAGTGATGATACTCCAAACATTGAAGATATCTTCAAAGAAAAGTTGAGTTCTCTTGAAAAGAACAGCAAAGTTTCCGATCTTGATTCTCACCCCAAGGTGAAAGAATTCAGGGAGAAATTATGGAACATTCATCATCAGGGGGAACCTATGCCTCAGACAAACACACAGCCAGGAACACAGGATGAAGATATTATAATGTCACAGGTATAAAAAAAAATATCTCCAGGGTATTTAATAGTTTAACTTATATTAAGGGTGGATATTTTTCAAATTGCATTGAGGAAGAACACCAATAATGAGCAAAATATCCATCCCTATAATACACTAGACCATGGAAAAGGGATTTATCATTCCACTTTTATTTCATTTTCTAGAGTTTTGGTTTGTTGTTTTCAAACTTCATCCTAAGGCATCATCTGAGCATCATATTGGTCACATGAGGTATCTGTGAAAGACAAAAAATATTATTTTATGACACCCATTTTACAATGGAAGGTTACCAAAAGGTGACTTTTTTAAAAGATAAGCAATGAGAACTTGTTTAACAATCAAGATCTTCTTAAGTTATGAATCATTTTCATTATTCTTGTGATATTAATGTTTGATTCAGGGATAATATTGTAAGGAGACATAAGATGCCAGTTGCCCTTAGGGTCACATGGTTGCAAGCTCAGTTTGTCAAAATGCATGCCACTCTCACCTAAGGAGACCTTTTCAGGATTATTTTCATACAGATAATCAGACTAAGTGCTTTAACATGTTTACTATATTATGGAGTATTTCAAGTCTTTTCATTTTATTTCCAGGCACCTGTAGAACAAACAAAGTGTCCACTGACTTTGAAAGATATGGTCAAACCAATGAAAAGTAAAATATGTGGACACAACTATGAACAAGATGCAATTTTGCAGCACATAAGCAGAGGGAGAGGTAGAGCTAAGTGTCCAGTCTGTGGACAGCTTCTCACCAAAGCTGACCTCGAACACAATGCTGTACTGCAGCATGCCATAAAGCGAAAAAATAGGAGAAAGTAAATTATAGTGCAAAAATAGGAGAAAATAAATTATATGTGAATTCTTGTACTCAGGAGTTAATTTTAGTTAAAAAGTAAATGCTGTGTTGTTAGAAAGTGTAGATATCTGTTACTGTTATGAGGAATACTTGTAGTTTTAAGACACTTGTATACTGTTATGTTTTTCTACGAATGCTTGTTCATGGCAAAAACAAGGAAAAATTGAATTGTTTTCATGTGATGATATTCTGATATTTGATATTGATATTAAGTAAGGAGTGGCATGTTGTAAATGAAAATGACAAAGTTCTTTAAAGTGGTGTGTTTGTGAATGTTTGTAATTCTATTCTTGGAAACACATATTTGTGTATTTGCCATTTTATGAACTGTAAATCTAATACAATAGGTATGCTTCGCTTAACTTGACTTGAGGAAATTCATTATTTGCTTCTGCTGTGACAGAAATCTCTTGTAAGGTTCAGGAATTTTGTGAAGTTCTGGGTGAACTATAATTTGATCATGACAGTTCCCAGTATCATGAATAATGTTTTATATCTTTTTTGAGCTTTTTTTTAAGACGATGTTAACATTGTTTTTTCTCACAATGTTTAAAGCTGATTTTACTTGAACCCAAGAGATAGATGGATGTATAGATGAGGAAGGATGCTTGAAATTTGTACATGTGATGTTGTCTTCTTATTTTCCACATAATATCTCTTAGTTGGTGTATTTTGTGGAATGATTTGCATGGCAAAGTTGCTGTTGATATCAAAAGCAACTATGTTTCTTTTTATGTCACTCCATTCTTTGAAAAATTCCATCAAGAAATCTTGCGGTGGCTTGAATGATTATTATTATAATCTGCCTGTGCAGGTCAGTTTAGAGCAAGGTATGTCACAGTACTCTAGAATTAAGAGCTCTCTCAAATCAACTTTATGATATTTACTTAGGCTGACACCTCCTGATATATTATTATTAAGCCTATTTTTTTTACTGTACCAGAAGGTTCTGAATTCTCTTGAAGAATTGGCCTCAAATCTACAAAAGTTGATCAATTTATCGAATATTAATAAAGAAGACTTTTACTAGGGAGAATAAATATACTGTTTCTTTTAATTCGGCAATTAAGGTTGGGTGTCCTTGAGGGAAATTGAAGTTCATCAATCTGGTATGAACTTTCAAAGAGTAAGAGAAGTATAAAGGAACAGATTAGTGAACAAATGATCTTTTACCTTCATTCCCAATTTTTGTTATCTTAAGCATCGATATAAAAGTATTATTAATAAATTCAAAATCAGTCATTAAAAGAGTAATGTTATCAAATATGATAATTTTGGAACAACATTCCTTTGTCTACCTATCAAAACTGTGACTAACATCATGAAAACTCGTCTATGGAAGACAGTGAGGTGCTTTTGTAATGAGATCTGGGAGTGAAAAGTTTGAAAATGAATGTCCCTTTCACTTCTTCTGTGATTTATTGATGTATAACCTTTGGTTGTTTAGGATGTTCTTCATTACTGTCAGCTAAAAATGAAAAGCTCGCATGCCCTAAAAAAAGTTACATTTTTAAATATTCCATCTACAGATGTGCAATGTAGGCAAAATGGGAACTGGATCTGATATTCATCTCTCTAATCTCATTGGGTGATGAAATCCATAAGTTATGACTCATAAACAATTACTGGATGAATTCTGCTCTCCTTTTGTTCATCAAATTTCATCGTTCTATTACAATGGCTTTTTCCTCATTATTATGCCTGTACGTAAATGTGCGCCCGCGTTTCAACAGCGGCAATATATGATCAAAACAACATTTCTTTGTTTACTTTATTCCTGCTGCTGGAAGATATGATCGATGATGCCAGCCGGGGTCACTTCTTTTCTTCTCCGTCACTTATGACCTCGTGCTGAATGCGAATTTCATTTGGTCAGCAACCAAGAGGACTCACAAAGTTTTGTTTCGAACCGGTTTACGCGGGTTCTAAAAATACACTCGTCACGTGTACATACAAAAGGAAACACAGTATAAAGCTGTCGAGTCGACGAAATTTCCTTCATTGAAACACACCACCGAAGAATTTTGTTAGAACAGAAAGCACCATGACACATTGTATGATTTGCTTTGCAGAAACGCCTGACAGAATCTCGCGGACATTATGTTGCTCGGGAGTTATATGTTTGTCTTGTTTGGAGGCACACATTGTGTCGAAGATAAACGAAGCTATCGTGGCCATAATATGTCCTCTGGGCAATTGTGACAGTTTAGTAAGCGAGGAGGAGATAAGACAGCTTGTTCCTGTTGAAGTGTTCGAAAAATACGAACGTTTCAAAGTGGAGGTAGAACAAAACCCAGGGATCAAGATATGCCCAGGATGTTCGCGTATTTATCAACACCCAGACTTGGAGAAAGTGGAACGCGAAAAAGTCTCCCGTCCGGAAGTTATGAAAGTAACATGTTCAAAATGTCGCCTGGTTTGGTGTTTTGCCTGCCAAGCTCCCTGGCATCACGGCTTGACGTGTAATGAATTCTGTAAAGGGGATAAATCTTTGAAAATATGGGCAAAAAATCGGGGACAGCCTGCTCGAAACGCCTGTCGTTGTCCGAAATGTCATGTCTTCATTCAGAAGTCCAGCGGCTGCGACCACATGTGCTGTAGCAGGTGAGAATCTTAAATTGGTAGCGCATAATGGTAACTTGTTTTTTCGTGGAACCATCTAATGAAAATTTCTATGTTATGATTTTAATGTGAAAAACACATAGGTTGCTACTTCCGTCTCTGTGAGGTTCCCAGTGTTATCTTCTGAATTTGATCGGATTTAAACATTAGTTAGCCTATCGAGGTTTTTGTTTTGATCGACGAAACAAAGAAAAGTTTATCTTTGTACATGTGCGTTGAGTGATGTCTTTGAAAAAACTTCGGACGCCAACTTTTAAGTCATTAAATGATCGTTTAACCTAAGATACAGGTTTAACACGTCTTGGTAGCTTTTTCCATCGATATTTTTCACTGGCAAGCGTTTAGTAAACACAGCTGTGCTCCCTTAAATTATTTGGGAGGGAGGGAAGGGTCATGATTTGACCTTCTTTGTAACAGGGGCTGGTAAAATAGTTTTTGTATCATTCTTAGCATCAGTCTAGTCCAGTTGCGATGTAATAAGTAATTTGAAAATTTGATTATTGAAAATTCTTATTAGCTTTTCCCATTTCTTAAAAAAAATTTGCTTTGAGTTTACCTCATACCCTCTTAACATGGTGCCCAATATCATAACCAATTTTTCTTTCTTTTGTCAGATGTAACACTGAATTCTGTTACCGTTGTGGTGGGAAGTACCATGATCTTAAATTCTTAGGCAACCACTATGATCGTTTCAGTATCCTGGGCTGCAAATACAACTACAAGCCAAATCAACCTGCACAGAGGATAGCAGTGCGTGGAGCACTCTTTAGTGGTAAAGTTGTATTGGCACCTGTAGTTGCAAGTTTGGCTGTCAGTGCTGGTTGTGTTGTACTTGGTGCAGGGTTGGTTGCTGCACCGTTTTATGCCCCATATGTGCTGATAAAGAGACAAAGAGCAAAACACAAGCAGAAAAAATTGAGAAACAGAAAAACAATGGAAAATTCTAGTCTTTAGGCCTAATGAGTTTTACATGCATTACCAGGAGACTTGGGTTTGGTTTTTATTTTATCAAACTAGTACACATTTGGACCTTGTTTCATGCTACTTTTCAAATGGAAATCAAAAAGGAATGTCAGAGTGATAATCATCTGTCCTTTTAAGGCCAACTATAATGTAAGGCCAGACCACGGGGGAACAGCTGCATGACTAATTTTTTAAAATCAGTGGGTTGCTTCTGCTTTTGAGAACCAATGTAAAGCATGGTGATGTTGGACTTCCAATCATCCAGTTACCATGATCTGCTTCTGTCACAAGATAAATCATGCCTTACCTTGGAAACATACATAACAAAGAAAAATGCTGTCATGTCTTTGGAGCTTTTAAAATCATTCTGCATGCCTTAGGGACAGTTAATCATGTCAAATGAGACAGCTGCATCTGATTTTTCTTTTTAAGCAAGTAGTGCAAGCAACAAAAGTCGGCAACACTCTGTTAAAATCTTTGACAACTTGAGTATTCCCCCCCCTTTTTTTTTGAGGCCTTCTTCCCCATATACTTCTGGGATCTTCCTCTTCTTATCCCTAGGAAATTTTACACTTACCCCAGGGGTTCATGTTCCCTTCACTGGTTACAATGAAAGTTCTCAAGTTTAAAAGCTGTCATTGCACAATGTATTATAGTTCAGATTTTTCTTTCTGTTGTTCAAACTCATTTGAAAATAATTTCTTTTTAATCAGTATTGCTTTTCAATTGTAATATCAGAGTGTTCTTAAATATTGCCAAAATATTCAGAAATAATAAGACACTACCATGAGAACTTTTTCACCTTGTTGGAGGTAATTGGGCAATGTAAGTTGATGTTTGGTTAAGGGCTTGTGTTGGCCAAATTGTGGCAAAATTCACAAATAAAAAATTGACAGGGCAACTGTATTGATGAGAAGCCTTGTTAAGTTAGATATCTAATTGTTGTTTTTGACACAAATTTTCATTCTTGAACTTTTGCTCCAATTTGGCTACCATACTTGTGAAAAATAGTAGAATCTTATTAAGCATTTTTTTTCACTCTGTCTGATTGCCAATTTTAAAATGTAATAAGGTGAAAACTTATAAGTCAGGGAACATCTGCCAAAAACCAAATTCAGCATAAGTGTGTAAAATGTCAGGAAAGTGTTGAGCATGAAAATCTTGTTACTGAGACAAAATTATCACTCTATTTTTCCCTGCCTGTGTTACAGTTCAAAGACTTCAGTAAAATCAATTGTAACCGGAAGATATAACCATGGTTGCAGCCAATTTAATTATTTGGAAATTTTTATACAACTGTTATCATAATTTTAACCCTTGGTCACTAAAATTGTCATAAATTTTAGAGAAAATAGTTGGGTTAAGGGAAAAAAACTGAAAAGTGTGTTGGAATGAATACATCTTCAAACTATATAGTTAAATATTTTGGGCTAACTTGAGGTCTTCGTTTGGTGAATGGTGGTATGAAAAAAGCAGATGAATTTAGAACAGAAAAGGGAAGGATTACTTTTTTCTCCTTTGTAAATGGTGATTATTTAAGCTGTATTTAATTGAATTCTAAAATTAAAAAGCTCACATAGTAAGGTATTAAAATTTATTGATAAAGTGGAAAGGTTTACGATTGTTGCAAACCTGCACACCTCACATACTCCATCCCTTTTTCACATCTCACCTTCTTTGTTATAATTAAGTGAAAAGAACAGTTACAGAAAACACTAAGTAACATTCTAAATACTTAATGTCAATTAATAATGTCAATTAATAATGTCAAAGAAGGGGCTTTGCGCAGAGAGCTTGTAACAGACTAATGCCAAGTGATCAAAATGCTTAAACGTCTAAGAGCGACTGGCTTCTAATTTCGCCCTATTTTATCACCCTTCAATCAAATATAAAGGTCATGAGAATAACCTCTTACTTGATTTTGAGGCCAACTGTTGATTTCTCAGGAGATGAACCAGGGATGTCCACTCAGTTTCATATGTTTGAAAGGTAAAAGGCTACAACTCCCCAATGAAGGGGTCGTTATTTTTAAAGTTTGCTCCAAATGAATACCACCTTAGAAGAACAATGGGCTCTTTTATCTTCAATTGGTAAAGTGTTCTGTTCTTAATTTCCTGGTATAGACACTGATGCTACAACTTGAGGAAAGAAAGGCCACAAAGAACCTTTTTCTGTGACTTTCTATTTTTTACATTTTGTTTCTCACCTAAAGTAATGTTAGTAATGCTTCTGAGCTTCCTTGAAAAGTGCAAACAAGAGACACTCCTGTTTTCCTTACAAGGGAAAGTTATCTTAAAATGTATATCAAGCACCCACTCTTCTTTATTTCACCCAAATACTGTCCTTACTGCTCCTGTCCAAGATAAAATCAAACTGACACTTCTACTCAATATCCCTCTCAATGAAATTTATGGTTCTTTTCTGTGTTTGCATGTGGGCAAAGACTATGTAGAGGAACTTTGGAGAGTATTTAAATACACAAGGTATAACAATGTACTTTAATGAATTATTTTGCAAAAAACTATATCAACCCTGTCACTGATGGCGATCCTGTGCTTGTCGAGGTTGTGGTGAACCGGTGACAACAACTGTAGAATTGGCTATTACATCATAGATGGTGCGATTGTGCTGGAAAAACAGAATGGTCAAAAAGACTGGGAAAAGAAAAGTCATGGAGAAATTCTTCACAAGGGCTCTTAAAAATGATCTGCGAAAAAATAAAATAAAATTGTGTATAAATTAATTTGTGCTCACTTTATCTATTAAGTATTAATTAATAATTACAGATGAACAAATATTGGAGCAAAATCCCATTCATTTGAAAATTTTTCCTTAGTTCTACTAGTAACATTTTCATTAAATTATCATTCATTCCTTAAGAGCAGAGCTCGCAGAGCCCCATAATTATACAAAATGGTAGTAGTAACCCATCAAGCCAAAAGAATTTGGACTTATGATCGTACGACCATACAACTGACTGTACAAAGTGCTACTTTTAACATGCGTGGTCAACTGTACTGCAGGCACGCCAACACCATGGCTTTGTCCAGTAATCCAGTGGTCAGTGTGGGAATAAAAAAATGCAAGCCCTGCTTTTAGGCTTGGCTAAATCTATATATTATCAATGTTCTAAAGTTACACATTGTTAACTCTTTCACTCCCATTAGTGACCAAGAAAGAATTTCTCCTTACAGTATCCATACAATATCAAGCAGACATATGATAAGAATACAGAAAAATATCAATAAGGGGATTATTAGTTAATTCAGTACCCAATTCTCCAAACTAACATCACAAGAAATGTATGACTAACAGGAAAGAGAATTACTAATGAGATCGTGGAAGTAAAGGATTAAGTGAGGTAAAAATTATTTTGCAATGGTACATAATATTGCACAAAAAAGGATTTTTCTTTCTTTTTTTTTTTAACTCACAAAAATATTTCTTTAGGTAAACATTTTATAGTTTAAGGTCACCAAATTGTGTTTAATCCTTTTCACCCTAACATCAGTATGCATATTCTCCATACTGTTCTCTTAAAAATTTCTTCAGGGCCAGACAAGGAGAATTTGTTTAACAATCAAGAGTTTCTTTAATTTGTAGGTTGTCATTTCCTTTATCCTTGTGATCTCAACCCTCTACACTCTAACATCAGTAAAGGTATTCTCCATACTGTTCTGCATACAGTCCTTTAGGTGCTGACAAGGAGAATTTGTGTTACATCAACAACTTCTTTTGCTGCTGATAATTTTCTTTATTCTCATGACCTTTCTGCATGACTAAGGGGTGATATTGTAAAGAGAAATTAGATGCTAATAAGTCACTCTTAGGGGTTAAAGGGTTGATGTTTGATTTAGGAGGTGTGCTGCTGGAAGATATCAGGTTCTTGTCACTCTTAGGGGTGAAAGAGTAACAAAAAGGTGAGCTGGAGCCCTGCACCACTGTGGTGATTTATTCCATAAATCCTAACTAATTTATGATGTACCTTCGAAATCCCAGGTTACCACCAGGTTCAATCCTAACTCGGTCACCATCAAAACCAGGAGCCACAGTAGTAATGGTCTCTGTTGCCACAACTGACAATCCCATGAGGTACTTGCCAGGTGTGGCACCACCAACACTACCGTGTAGTCCACCCATGAGGAAAAACACCTTGATATAAGAAGAACCAAAATATTATTCATTGAACATGCTGTAACTCTAAGATAATTCAATTGTAAATTAAGCTTGCTTGAAGATAGCTATGTCATCTTTATGAGTCATTCTGTGCTCAGTAAACTTCAGCATCAGGGAAACCACAAAATACTGAAGATTTAGAAGGAGAAAAAAGCACTAAAATGGGAAAACATATCAATTATTGATAGAATTCTTCCTCATCTTTCAATATTTACCTCAAAAGCAAACACTATTAATCGGTAGACCAAAGCTTGTATAAGAAGTTCCTCAATATCTTTCAGACTTGTATTATCATCTGTTATCAAAGTGTATTGTAACTGTGTGTATCTCTCCAAATCATCACTGAAAGAAAAAAAAATCAACAATTTTACTGTTTATGGTTTGAGCCTAGGTGTAACATTTGATTGTGCTTTTGGTTGGGATTAATCCTGGAAAACTGTTTGAATAATTTCAGTGAATGTCACTTTCAGAGCCTCAAACCATGTTATGATTATCATATCAAAAGCATTTCAAAGAACTTAGGGCAGAGATCATTAGTTTCAAATCCTGGAAATAGCCAAGGGTTTCAATAAAGAGCTGCTTACTGGCTGTCTATTGCAACCTGTAAGACCTCTAACAGCTGTTTGTTTAGACTGCAAGTAGGTTCTTGTGTTTGGGTATTGCCTTATAGCACAGCTGTCTATTACACCTATTGGAGGCTCTTGCCTATTGAAACCCTGTTAGAAGCCCCCCTTCATTACAATGTTTCAACCCTTTGCTCCAAAAAGTGACTGGCTTCTAATTTCTCCTTACAGTATCACCCTTAACCCTTTAATGCCCAAGATCTCACTAGTAATTCTCCTTACTGTCTGCCAAATGATTCTCATCATGTTAGTTTGGAGAATTTCGTAGGGGATGAATTATTAATCCCATAATTGATTTTTTTCTTTATTCTCATCACTTTTCTACATGATATTGTATAGATATAGTAAGGAGAAATTCTGTCTTGGTCACTAACAGGAGTTTAAGGGTTAATTCAAATGTAAAGGTCATGAGAATAAAGGAAATGATCTCCAATGTAAAAAGCTCCTGATTTTCTAACAAATTCTCTTTATTATTACCATGAGGAATGTTAGGAGAAAAGTTTGGAGAATATGAATACTAATGTTAGGGTGTAAAGGTTAAAAAGCTTTTAGTGAACTTCCATCTCATGGACAAATGTCTTTAATTTGTTCAGTCAGTCTCCTCTGAGATGGTGATTTCAAAAAAGTTTCCATGGTAAAGTCAGTTACACAAATTAATCCTTTATTTAACTGTGGAGATTTAATTTGTATGAAAGTTATTTGTACTTACTAAAATATTGAGAACACAAGAACCTTTGTAAAGTAGAGAAAGATGAAATCCAGTATTTCTGCATAGATCCTCTTAGAAACAGGGGCAAGCTTAACTTCACAAGCTGCGAGTAAAAAACAAAATTACAAAAATTTTGTCATCAAGTGACCGGATCTGTAATTTAGAGGTTGGATAATTTTATATTAATGACCATTCATCTAATCAAAACACTGTTGGAGAAATCTGAACTTGTACTCAACATATAGCTGAAACATGGCACAGGTTCTATAGCACTAGGAGTACTTCAATTCTCCCCTTAGATGGAAAACCAGGATATCTCAAGTTTCCCCCTCCCCCACCCCACCAGCAAAGAAAAAAAAGGGTGGAGGGAGAGTGAATTGTTGTGCCCAAGAACACAACACATCACAATGACCTGGCCAAGCCTGGAACCCAGATGTCTCAACCCAGTGTTCAGCACACTGATGGTAAGGCCACTATGGCTTCCACTGATGAAAGTGTGACTGAGTTAACCCTTTAACTCCCATGAATGACCAACACAGAATTTCTCCTTACTATATCTATACAATATCATGCAGAAAAGTGATAAGAATAAAGAAAAATATCAATTATTGGATCACTAATTGATCTGATATGAAATTCTCCAAACTAACATAATGAGAATCATTTGGCAGACAGTAAGGAGAATTAATAATGAGATCTTGGGAGTTAAAGAGTTAAGCTCAGCCATCTTGTTCTTCTCTTCCCTCAAAATTATTTCCTTAGTTCTAAATGTATCTAACTTATATTAACTTACCTTTTGCTTCCTTTCAGATTATATCTATCATTTAAAAACAAATAATGTATCTAGAAACATGTTCATTACAATGTAACTATCTGCTAAAGGATTGTCAGGAAGCTAACAGTACTTGTAAAAAAAAGTAAGTGAAAAAGAAAGTTATTTTAATGAGTAGGGTACATGTACAATTAGACGAATAATCGCATAACAACAAACAAAGCTGATTCGTAAAATACCGCACTGAAACCCGTCTTATACACTAAATCATCTGCATTTTCGATTCTTACAAATAAAATGCGGCATTTTGTAACCAATTTAAACTTTTAGTGTAATACGAAACCCACCTGTTCTAACTGCCGGTTGTCTAGCTTGGAAATTCAACCAAGGGGCTGTACGGTTTTGTTGGATATTTTGAGGTTGTTGTCCACCAAAAACGGCCTGTGCTCCCTGTTGATTTAAACTCGTCTGTGGATCGACACTTTGGGTTTGAAAAGCTCCTTGGTACATTGGATGCGATGCTAGCGTTTGCCAATAGTACATGTAGGAACAGAGCTGATAGTAATATTGTTGATAATATTGAGCTGACATCCAGTAAAAAAGCATATTCCACGGCTCTTGAGAACTGAACGGGCGACTGGTGGATGTAATTCTTCCATTAAATGTTCCATCTGATCCGTTATTCAGGGGAGTAGATGTATCTTTAGCTGCGTCTGGACCTTCGTGAGTTGCCGTGGCGTCCGCCATGTTTTTCTCGTTGAACGAGAATCGAGAGGAGACTGGGGTAGTTCAGCTGGGAAAGCCGTGAAGTCGATAATCAATTGATAGATTGATAAACGATGATACTCATAAACGAAACTTTGTCAATTTTAAAACGAAGGGCCTCGAAAGGGAAAGGTGTTGTATTAATTCGGTGGGATTTGAGGTAGATCGATTGAAACTACTTTTTTCAAAATAACAACAACTTATCAATCATAAAAAAATAACTTAATTGAACCCGGGACTGTTAACTATGACAGTGTCTCTGACTTTTCGACAGCATCAAGTGAAGATCATTTTGTTTTTCAAGGGCCATAGGTCTGGTTCATGAGAGCCGATTGTTCGTCTTTTCCGTAGTATTATTGGTTGTAGGACTGAATTAGTGTAAGTCAGCTGTGGTTGGTTACTTCTCAGTCGACTCTGGGTCTCATGCTCGGCTCACGTTCACGTGTGGGCCATTAAAACAGGCCTCGCACACTCGTCTCGCGATTCCTTGCTCGAGTTTTATTCCTGCCTCAGCGTTTTACCAAAATTACACAAACTATTTAAGTGTCTACAAAATTTTGTAACTGCAGGCAGAACTCTAAGGAACGACCAATTTTAGTATCTTTATCTAGTTCTTTGAAATATCAACCTCCTAGATAAACGAGTGATAAATAGTATTTTAGATAGCTCTCTTATGTTTTGCAGTTACCAAATGCTTTAACTGTCTCAAACATGTCAAAATGAAAATGTTATGATGTCTGCATAGCTGACTGAGGAAAACTAAACAGTGAATGTCCCAGATTTTATAATTACTGAGAGAAAATGTTGTTTTCCATTCGCGTGGATAAATGGAAGTAAAAAACAAAACAAGACAACTCTTTAAACTACTGATGTAAGGCTATGAGGTCCTTGTGAGTCTGCGCAAACGATTTTGGTGCTTGCATAAGAGAGCCACCTCTAAAACGATGCAAATAATTAAGTAATTATGCCTACGGAGAGAGTATTCTCTTGTGCCTACATATTGTTTAAAAACCCAGCCACTTCCCAAGTACATCATAAAAAGACCTGGCTCTTCCCTTTGTTTGTATCCAACATTGGTATCTTATGGCGAATATGAAAGTAAAACTAGCCTAAGAAATAGTGCACGAGGGAAGGTCACACCGCTGACAGTAAATATCGTACAACTTAAAAAGTGGGTTAGCATTTGAAATTCTCGCTAATGGTTAACAAACATTTCCTCCAATTACCAAATAATAAAAAATAATAGCAGTGATATAGCAATAATGGCAATAATAATGATAATAATAGTAATAATAATAATAATAATAATAGGAATAAATGTAATCAGAATTATGAAATTTATAGTAATGATAATATTCATGATAAACGTTTCATTGGCAATCAAGTTAGAAGATACAAATTTTCCTCCTTTTCATTGCTTGGCTGGGTTTGGTGAATTAATGAATTGAACTTGAATTCGTATACAATTGTTAGATAAAATTGATTTATATTATGAAACAGGAATACAATCGAGTGTTATTTCGGTTAATCGGTGTATCAATCATTTAGAGACCTTTGAAGTGTTTTGTCCAATCAAAGAAAAGGCTTTATCTCAAATAAACCCGAGACTACATCTTTTCCATCTGTTGGCCATTTACGAAATAACTTTGGTTTCGTGCAACGAATATCTCTGAGGGCTAAAACGAGATTTGACTCCCACGAAATAAAACTCATTTTCGTAGAGAATCATTGGACATGCATGAAGCTTCGCCTTCAAGAGGAGACTGAGAGAAGCAAGGAAGAGCGTCATTCCTTAAATAACACTGTTTTGTTTTCCTGATTCAGTATCTAGCTATCTATCAGCCCTTAATGTGGGCATAAAAGTATACAACCGCCAGAAAATTACCTGACACATGCAATGGCTAAGCAAATCTAGCAAACGATTCTAACCTTCAAAAAGCTCAACTAGAACAACGCTCATGATTTGAGAAGCGATAAACTAGGTAAATGTTTCAACACCTAAAAAAGTCAAGAAAAGCTGCCTTCACATTCTGCTAAATGATACGCTTCTATGGCGGAGAAAGTTCCTACAGAGCGCTTGAGAACGTATCGTTTTCCTTCCCTAGCTCCGACCCTGGTGCAGATTCCACTTCCAACGCCATTGCCTCTTCGTTGTTTTGGTTGACGGACCAGGCGCTCGCGAACGCCTTGTTCTCCCGCCCTACCACTTTCGGCTCCGGTGCAGACTGGGAGGTTTCCGGTACCGATACCTCCTCGCTGTCGAGGCTGATGGACCAGTCGCTAGAGAACGCCTTGTTCTCTTCCCCTATTTCCGATTCCGGCGCCAATTCATTATCTTCGTCGCTAGGACAAGTGTCTTGATCCTCTGCTTCCAGAGTAGGTTCTGTTTCCAGGTCCGCCTCTGCTTCGTTCTGCTGGTCGATGGAGCCTTTCTTATCGGAAAGGAGCTCTTCTGGCAACCCAGCAAACCTATGATTAAAAGCGAAAAGATTACATAATTGTGAGATACGCAGACGAGGTTTGTATTAGCTTCTTAATAAACCTATATTTCTGAAAGAGAAAATGTAGACAGTAAATGATTACAGTGAATACAACTTACCAAAAGAGGCTGTACTCATAATATACCCCCATGAAAATCGTTTCCTTTCCCCAAGCTGCGAAGAACGCGCACGTATAAAGCACGGCGGAGAAAGTAGATTCAAGCGCTCGAGACACGCGAGCCCCTAGTACCTTTGGTAGTTTGCATTGTGCGCTTTAGACTGATTGGCGAAGAGGAATCGATTATTTTTACCTTCTAAACCCGTCATCGGGCTTGGGTTGATACCTACAGAGATTCATCTTGAGGCTCGCCGAAAAGCTCATATATGGTCTCCTCATCCATCTCAAGAGTTGTCAAGTCTGTCTGTACCTCTTGGTCGCACATCTCCACTATTTCCTCTTCCTCTTCTTCTTCCTCTTCCTCCTCCTCTTCTTTCGCTTCCTCCTGCTCGTTCAGCTCTTTGCCCTCTTGGGATCCATCCTGGATTTCGGATCCTTTGATCTCCTCTTTCCCTTCATTTTCATTTTCCTCGGGGATGACATCAATGGCCAAATGTCCGTGCGCTGAGTAATTGACATAACGAGGTTCTTGCTCTTTCAATTCATCGTAAATGGCAACTTCATCTTTGAATCTGACTGTAGAAGGCATGTTTCGGGGTTTTTTGCGGTTCATGTCCAAAGGAACAGGGATGATGGCATAGGGGTCATCTTTCATTTCTTCATATATAGGATTAGAGAAAGACGCTTTGTTTTCCTCCCCTGTGGGGTTGAGTATTTTGTCGTTATTTTGCGTGGGGTCTGGGTGGATGGATACTATCTCCATCTTGCCGTCTTCAAAATGATACCCCTCGTCGTCCAACTCTTCATCGTCCTCTCCCAAGTCATTCACCGGGAGGAGCAGAGACTGGAAACAAGTGAACGAAAAGTGCGGATTCTTGATCCAATTCAACAAAAATCGTAAGACGTACGAAAAGTATTCCCCTGTAAGAATAAAACAGAAAAAAAAAATCTGTTGATATAGTCCTCCAAATTCTCAGTTACTTCTAAACGACGCCTTGCTGCCTAGATAGGGAGGTGATTTGTGCTTGATTAAGTTGCTTCTGACAGAACATCTGAGTTACAATTAAAAATAACAGGATGGATTTAATATGTACAACAATTGTAGTGAACAAAAATGCAATGTAAATGATAGACAATTGAAGGTAGAATAAGGTCTCTAATTGTCTGAGTTTTCACTCACGAGACCGTGAGGTATGGCCTCGTCACTGATATCTATCACGATATTTCCATGGTCTCTCTGTTATTCTTTAGTGTACAAGGCTATACTGTTTATTAATTTTCTTTTCGCGTTCTGCTCAAAATTTTCTCATGGCAAAACCTACATTCCTCTTAAGTGGGTAAGTGAGTGTGACCGGCAAAGCATCACGCTCACTTGACGCTCTTTCACATCTGCGTTTCCTCTGCTGCGTTCGCCGTCCTAAATTACCCGGCTGACTATTTAAGTTCAAGTACACGGTAAACTATATCATTTCAATTGCTAATTAGCAGGGTACTGGGCTTCAATCTAATGTACTTAAAAATCATCCCAACGATTAGTGCCCCCAACCCCCGAAGTGACATCTTACAGATAAGCTGTCCAACCACCAAAGTATTCGCTCCTAGAACGGTTATCTTGAATATGTTTGTATCCATGAGTGGATCTTTGAAAGGCTCCCTGTTCTCTGATGGGATTCTGCTCACGGCGCCAATTCCGAGGTTTATGAACGTGACTGAGAGAGCTGTGACCATCAGCTTGTTCTCGAAGTAGTCTTGAATGGGAGCAATGTAGGCAAACGTCATACCATACAGGCCTGCCAGAACACACGTAACACCCACATAAGCCCTGCTCTCTTGTCCAATCAGAATCAGACCGGAAGTGAGTGTGATCTTGCGAGCCATCTCAATTACTTCCCAATACCAAGACGGTGTGTCGTAATTTTCATAAAGAAAACGCAATCCGGTGACGATCTCTTTATTAGGAAGGGTCTCCTGGTATCTCTTTTCTTCCTTCTGGGCTATAATCAGCGCCCGCTCTCTCCAAAGCACAGTGATGGAGAAGGCGGGGAGAGCGATTATGTAAAGGATATTTAAGTAGGCCCCGATCAGCTGTAAGTGGTACTTTGTTCCGTGACAGCGGATGCCGTAGTCAGCTTTGAGGTAGTCGTCACATAATATCCCTTCTTTGTCACGGCAAAGTCGTCGGCAGGCGAGTGGCAGGACATTGGCCGTTTTAGAACACGTGCTCAGATACGTCACGAAGAGGAAGAAGAACAAATTCCTGTAGACGAGTTCTTTGGCGTGTGAAATACGCTTGGCTTTTTCCATCTGGGTCAGGCTGTTACTTAAGGTGACCATCACATAACGCACACCGAGAATGAATGCAAAAAAGGCGATAGCACAAGCATTCAA